GCGCAGGACGCTGGGGGCGCCGGCGGCGGCGGCGGCGGCGGCGCGCCGTCGCTGCTGTCGGTGGCGCCCGGCGGCGTCGGCCGCGCGGCGCAGGATTTGCTGGCCAAGGCGCCCGGCGTGGGCCGGGCGGCGCAGGAGCAGGCGCGGGCGGCGGCCAGCGCAGCAGGGCAGGCGGCGAGTGCGGCGGGGCAGGCGGCGTCGACGGCGGCGACGGCGGCGACGGCGGCAAGCGCGGCGACGCTGAACCGCATTTACGCGTCGTTCAAATCGAACACATAAGATTACTGATGAGATGACTCATGGCGAACGGGATTCGACTCTCTGCATCGTGCTTGCATGATCTGTGTCGGCGGCCTGTTACGGCGGCCTGTGATGTCGGCGGCTTGTTACAGTCGCACACGGATATTCACATTTGATTGCTGCCCAAGGGCTCTTTTTCTTCCGCCCCCGCAGAATACCTCAAACTGTGGATTTCAAGGCTTACAACGAGCCCCCCCCCCCACGCAGCTCTCGCACTGCCTTTTCGTCGCACCCCATTCAGCGGTGCCCGTCGGTCAGCCAGCCGCCCGGCTCTGTTCGCGCTCCACTTCCTGCCTGTTGGTGCACGGCCTTTCAAGTTTTGAAAGGGTCGCGCCTGTGATTGTCACATCGTAAGCCATCGACTGTCTCCTGCACTCAAATTGTCTGGACAGACTGCGAGACAGGGTGAATACGCTGCATCTGCCGCTTACGGTGAGAGCCAGGTCCAATTTTTACAATGAAAAACCCCAGCGCCGCGTCGGCAGCGAGGATCGGTGCACAACAAAACGAAGCGTGCATGCAGTCCGTGCGTCGCAGCTCGTTCCCAGTCCGGTGGACGCTGGACACCCGCACCCTGTAACAGCCACTCAGCGAGGGTGCGGGCGGGGCTGGAGAGCGCGAAGGAAAAGGAAAAGCGTCGGGTGGGGTCAAGTCACACACGCCCGGCGCGGGAGCGGAGCGCAGGGGGTTGCGCAGGGGCCTCCCGCCTCGCGGGCACAGTCAAAGAGTATGTGGTTGATCAAAACACGCGGCCCGCGCGCCTGACGCCTTGCAGCCGGGGGCCGACTTGCAGGCGCGGCTGCACCGGCCGCCACGCAAGCGCGCGCACATGCTCTCTCTCGCATGATGCACATGATCGCCGCCGCCCCCTTAGCGCATGCGCCCAGCTGCCCGTTCCCGAGCCCCTGCTTACAGGCTGCGCACGCCGGGCCCGCCGCACAGAGGGGTGCTGTGCGCAGCCCGGCCCCTCACTTCTTGGCCTTAGCCTTGGCCTTGCCGCCCTTCTTGCCAGAAGCTTTCTTGAGCGGACCCTTCTTCGCGGCCAGCGCCTGCTTGGCCGCCTTGCCCTTGGGCTTCTCATCAGCCTTAGGCTTCGCGGGCGCCGGCGCGGCGGCGGCGACGGCGGCGGCGGCGGCAGTCGCGGGCGCGGCCGCTGGCGCAGGCTTGGCGGCGGCGGGCTTGGGAGCAGCTGCCGCCTTCTTGGCAGGCGTCTGCTTCTTTGCGGGGGCCGCCTGGGTTCGGGTGGACGCCGCCGGCGACCGGGCTCAGGCTCGGGTTGAAACAAAGCGGACACGTCTGCCGTGCCCATTGCTGTCAATGGATGCACAGACGACGACACATTGCGCTGCACATGGTCATCTGTTGCTGCAGACCCTTTTGTTGCAATGACCCAACAATCAACATGCACGCTAATATAAGCACACACTCTGGGACCCGCGCAGTTGCACGTTGCGCGTCAGTCCGACGCGGCGCCCACCTTCTTCTTGGCCGCCGCCTTGTTGACCTGTGGCTTTCGGCCCTTGGCCGCTGCCCTGTCCAGCTCAGCGCCAACCTCTTTGTTCACGTCAACCACGCTGATGACCGGGGCCTTGGGCGGTGGCTCGGCCTTTGGGGAGGGGTAGAGGGCACGCATCCAGACACCGCACCTCTTGACCTTTTTGTTCACGATGCATCCAGGTGAATGGACTCAGCTTTCAAATTTATTGAGGCGACCGAGAGCATCAGGGTGCACCAGAGGCCTCATGCGCCTATGGAGCGCCGCTCAGCCTCGGTCAAGCGCCCCGCTGCCGCCGCCCCGTTCGCGGCCGCCGCTATGGTCTGCAGCACACCTTCGCCTCCTCCTCGGCAAACGTGACGGCGGGCTTGGCGGTCTGCGCCGGCTCCAGAACCTTGGACACCAGCTGGCCCATCGTAGGTGGTGGGTGCTGCGGCTGGTGTTTGGGCCGCTGCGGCTGGGTGCTGCTTCTAGCGCTTCGCGCCTAGGGGTCGGCAATCGCACGCCTGGCAGCCGCACAGGCTACAGGGGGAAGAAAAGCGTGCCTGGACGGATGGAAGCATGCGTGACATTGATAAGAGCGCAGGCGCTCAGTCAAGCGGGAGAGTCACCCATATTGACGTGGGTCGCACGCGCTCGCGCTTCGCTGGGAGGCTGTTGCTGTTCGGCTTGTTGTGCGGCAAGGGCCACCGCGCATGCGCCGTGGCATAGTGCGGCACCCTGGTGGACACGAAAATCTATACTGCTTCACATACACGCGGCTGCAGCACGGGAACAGCGCGATAACAATCGGTTGGGCCAAGGCCTTTCATGTCCGTGCCAGCCTGCAGTCACAGGCCCCCACGGCCTACACTCCTCAAAAATTGACATGACGCTCACCTGTGCTTGCAAGGGCCGCAGAGAGCCGGGATCACCCGCTGTTGTGTTGAAAATCGCAATCAAAACTACGGGTGCAGCGATGGCGTTTTATAATGATTCAGAATAGCACAGCATTTCTTGCACGCTTCCGAGGGCGCGGTCCAGTTTTCGCGGGCTTGCGATTGAAGGCGTCTCCCCTGGTTGACTTGTGTGAAATTCGGGCTGCCTGTCAACTTGACTTGTTGTTGCCTTCAACGAATCAGTCCTAATTCATGTTTTCACAACACATACCGTATGCGTGAATGTGTGGAGCACCGGCATCGGACAAGAGGACCTGGGCTGTCGAGCTTGCCTGGGTTGCACAACACACGCAGGTCAACTCGAGCATCCCTTGTATCACATTCAATGTCCTGCAGTTTTACACCCCGCTCAACTTGCAGACAAGGTGGTTACAAGAAGCATTGCATCACGATTGATGATAGCCAGAGCAGGGAGCCAGGACATAGCAGGCTAGGTGCGAGTTGAGTAGCCGTGGTTGCCCGTCGTCCCATTGCCACGTTCTGGCGGCCGCAGTCCGTCCTGGAATTGTGGACCAGGGCCGGAAAACCTGAGATGCCACCTTACCACACATAAAGCTCCTCCAAGGCAGTCAATCCCGCGGCCAGGCGGCCCCGCTCCCCCGCCCCAAACTCCTCACTCCACCCCCTCGCCGCCCCGGCCGCCCTCCGCGTCCCTCGCCGCCGCGGGGGCGGCCGCCCCCGCCGCGACGCCGATCTCCGCCAGCCCCGCCAGCAGCTCCCGGTGGAACGCCTTGGCGCGCGCCGCCAGCGCAGCGGCCTTCGCCGCGTCGCGCGCCGACCGCGCCCCGGCCTCGCCGTCGGCCTGCTTGGCCCTGGCGCGCGCTGCCGCCTTGAGCGCTTTGAGCTCCTTGTCGCGCCCCTCGAGCTGGCGGCGGCACGAGGCGCGGTGTGCAAGGAAGCGGCAGAACGGCTTCAATTCACGCGATCCCCGTGGTTGAAGAGGGCATGGCGGGGTCAAGTTCATGGTGTTCTGATGTGCGGCTGGATTTAGCCGGCGATCTAACGCCGAGCGGCGGCGTTCGACAGCCATGACATCATATGAGCCATGCCAGGTCATGCCATCATGCCACCAAGCAGGTGCCCCACTGCCCAGCCCCTGGCAGAGCCCAAGACCACCTGCTCCTGCAGCGCCACCCTGTCTGCGTCGACGCGCGCCAGCCGCTCGCGCGCCGCGTCGGCCTCCCGCTCCAGCGCGGCCACGCGCCGCTCGAGCGCGGCGCGCGCACGCGCCTCCTGGGCGGCCTGCTTCTCGCGTTCCTTGGCCTCTTTCTTGGCCAGCTTGGAGGTCGCCTGTGTGTGTGTGTTTGTGTGTGCATGTGTGTGTGTATGTGTGTATGTGTGTGTGTGAGTGTGTGTGTGTGTGTGTGTGTAGTTGGGGGACCGGGGGACGGGGCAACAGGGGGACGTATGCGCACACGCGTGTGTGTGCGTATGTGTGTATGTGAGAGGGTGTGGGTGCGGGTGTGTGCGCTCGCGTGCCCTCAGTTCGTTGTCCCTCTTGTCTCTTGTGATTCCGGACTCAACATCGCCGCCGTTGTATGGCTCAGCGGCCTTTACGCCTCACCCAAACACACGTACACACGCAAACACACATATACGCAACACACATATGCACACACACACACAAACAGCTGCACACGAGCATCTTACGTACACGCACGCACACACCTCAGCCTCCTTCAACTGCTGTTGCAGCACCACCACCTCCTCGGCGCGGCCGTCCAGCTGCGCCTGCAGACGCGCGACAGCCGCTCGGTCCCCACGATCCGACACTGCGCATGAGCCTGCTGCGGCCCCTGCTGCGGCCCCTGCCGCCGCCCCTGCCGCTGCCGCTGCCGCACCCCGGCCGCTGCCGCCCGTCGCCGGCGCGGCGACAGCGGCTGCTGCTGCCGCGCTGTTCCACGGGGGGCGCTCGTGCGACTGCGCCGCGCTGTGCGGCGCCGACGCCGCGGCCACGAGTGCATCTGGCGCGGGCAGCGGGGGCTGCGCGGGTGTGCTGGCCAGATCAGGCGCCGGCAGGCGAACGCCAGCCAATGCATTTGGGGCAAGCGTAGCGCGCCGATTGCGCGCCAGGCGCGTCTGCAGCGCGGCCGGGGCCGGTGACGCGGGCGCCGCCGCCGCCGCCGGCGCAAGCGCGGCGGCGGTCGTCATGCGCCGCTTGCGCTGCGCCGCCGTGATGCGCGGCGCCGGCTCGGGGCTTTCGACGGCATCAGGTGGCTCTGCCGAGCCGGAGCGCCCCGCTGCGCCGCGGCCGGCCCGCCGCCTCTTGGTCTCCTGCTGTGCCTCCTCTTGCCCCGCCGCGCGCTCCGCCGCGCCCGGCCGCGCGGCCGCCGCCAGCGCCGCGAGCTGCTCCTTAGCGGGCGTCAGCGCGGCGCCGCGGAAGACTGGGCGGAACTCGGGCTCGGCGCCGTGGGCGGCGGCAGGGCTGGCCGCGGCGCCGCCCTCGGCCACCGCCTGCATCTTTGCAAACTCCTGCAGGCGGCCGAGATAGTCCTGCGATCAGGCGCACGCGCGCAGAGGGTTTAAAAGGAAAGAGTGTGATCTTGCTCGAAGATGAGGTGTGAGTGTGGACTGCCAGATGAGCTGGCTCACCCAAGTGTCCAGCCATTGGTATATGCGCCCACGCCCAGCAAGGACCCATCCATCCCCTGCCGCCTCAATAGCTGGCAAATGCGCCCACCCGGCGGCTCCCTCCCCACCGGCCGCACCTTGCCATTCCACGACTCCCTCAGCGCCTCCTGCAGCGTCTTCTCCTTCTTCTGCCGCCCGCCGCGCCCGGCGCCGCCGCCGGCCCCGCGGCCGCGGCCTGGGCCGCGCGCGTCATCCTCCTCCCTTGGAAGCACACGGTCTGCGGTCTCCGCCAGTTCCTTCATGAACCTGTTTTAGAGAGAGTCGTGCGGATTGAACCATTGGGAGGAGGAGGCGACATTGCAGGGGTGTGGTTTAAGGGGCTTGGAGAGTGGAGTCAGGGCGAAAAACAATTGGGCCAGTCCCTCCTTGGCAGGCGTGCCAGCACGACAAGGCTGCTGGGCGGCTGGCCGCGCTCGCGATCGCCAGGGTGACTGGATCACCTAAAGACTTCTTCGCCGCTCTGGAAGGCGCTGCGGTCAGGCTGGGACGTTGCGGCCCTGGCAGCCCCAGCTGCTGATGTCGCTGCCGCTGCGGGCCCCGTCGGGGCCATCTGCTGCTGCTCCTCCAGTAGGCTCTCCTTCCCTTCCTTTGCCTGCTGCTCCTGCTCCTGATGCCCCAAAAGCTGCTGCTGCTCTGCCTCTGCACACTCGCGTGCACCGCGCAGAGGCCCTTCTGCTGTGGGGTGTGCGGCCTTCTCCTCTGCACGCCCCATCGGCGCAGGGCGAGAGGCCTCTGCCCTTGCCGCCGCGCCGCCGTCCCGTCGCCGGCTGCGTGCATGGGGCTGCGCGGGCGCCGAATCCTCCGCGGCAGCGGCAGCCGGGGCCGCCTGCGCTGGGGCGGAGGGGGGCTCCCCGCCCGCTTTGCTGGCACCGCCCTCGCTGCCCACGGCAGCAGCGTAGCGGTCGCCCTTGGCAGCTGCGCAATCTGCTGCTTCCACTGAGCGGCCTCTGCGCTGGGCCGCCGCAGGGTGCGGGGGGGATGAGGCGCGACCTGCTGCGTGATGCACCAGCAGCTGCACTGGCTGCAGGGGTGCAGCATATGATGCTGCTTTCACAGTTGCTGCCAACGCTGGCGCCGGCGCTGGCGCCGGCGCTGGCGCCGGCGCACGTGCCGCGGATGGCTTTCCTGGGGTCTTGGCCGGCTGCGACGGGGCGCGGTTCTCGTCCTGGCCGCCCGGGCTTGATGGGCTTCCCGGCGCTGCTTCGTCGATGCTGCCGCAGGCCGGCTCGTCGAAGCTGTCGCCACCGCCATCCTTTTTGTTCTTCAGCTTCGGGATCTGAAAGCTAAGCCCAAACGGGCGCTTGAGCGCGCTCATCCTGGGAGCTGTCGTGTGCTGTGGAGCAACACGCTCCAGATCACTCAACTTACAGTCATGTGGACAAAGCTTCAGATAAAGATTTAAGATTACGAGCCACTCTCGATGGATTGGGGCGTTCACATAGATTGGATGTTCGGATTTGAATTGCTCTCCGGTTACATCCGCTTCTCAACGCTCAAAACCCCATAAATACCTTCAGTGACATGTGTGTGAGGGTTTTTGTGCACAAAGAAGATAGCCGGCTGCCGGTGTGTCGTGGAGAACGGTTAGGCGGATTGGAACGCTTCAGGGGAAGGATTGCCACCAGAAGTTGTTGAAACTGGAAATGTAACCCGGCGCTGGTGGTAAACAACCCGTCTACAGGACATAGACCAACAGAGACCGGGGCTCGAGCACTAACTACTCCTCAGATATGGCGGGCAGAGGGCGAATATGGGTGATCGGGATCCAATCTCTCGGGCTGGCGGTGGCCACGCTGGCGCAGGGGGGTGAGTTGGTCCTGGTTGCGCTTTGCAGTGTCTGCGCGCACTGCCACACCCGTGTGTCGCAGGCCCCAGCTGATCGCAGTCAATGCAAATGGCGGGCTGCCATTATCACCAGCGTCCTGACGACTGCAACCCGGCACTCCTGTCATGTGCGCCCGCACGCCCACTCGCAGCGCTCCCGACCGCCTCGCTCATCGGCACCCCTGCGGCGGCCGCGCCCACCGCGGCCGCGCTCGTCGCGCCCCGCGCGGCCGTGGTGGCCGGCAGCTGCCTGGCCGCGATCCCGGCCGGCAGCCAGTGCGGCGGCAACGAGACCAACCCCTACATGACGTGCGCCGACTTCAACAGCTGCCAGAACACGCCCTGGGCCGGCGCCTGCTGCCAGGCCGGCGCGGGCTGCGCGCAGCTGCAGTCGGACACCTGCTGGACCTGCGGCGGCGGCCTGCCCCCGTTCCTGCAGGGCCTGCCAGAGTCTGCGCCTGGCAACTGCACGTCGATGCCCAACGGGGACTTTGACTATGGCTGCGTCCTGGGCGCGTCGATGTTCTTCTATCAGGCGCAGCGCAGCGGCCGCCTGCCGGCGGACAACCCGGTGGCATGGCGGGGGAACTCTGGGCTGAGGGATGTGGCGCCGAACGGCAACGACCTCACCGGTGGATGGTGTGCGCGGCCTCGCGGGCGGCGGGGTGGGACGTGGTGTGGGCGTGAGGGCAGAGGGTTTGGCCGCCCGGCCCGGCTGTCTGCGAGCAGGTGTATTGGGGTTGAGGGAGGAGTTGTCGAGCAGTCGCCGGTCACGCTAGGGTGACCAGGTGCCCATCATCTAGCCTGAGCAGCGGGCCCCCTGCGCCTGCCAACCGGCAGCGGCGGCCTATCCCGCGCCCACCGCGCCCCCTGCCGCCCGGTCGCCCCCTCCCCAACCAAACCCCAGGTATGACGCGGGCGACACGACGCGCTTCACCTTCCCGGCCGCCTACACCATCTCCACCCTGGCGCTCGGCTACCTGGCGTTCCCTGAGGGCTACCAGCGGTCGGGTCAGGACGTCGCGCTGAAGCGCAACCTCAAGTGAGCCCGCGCGATGCTCGGCCGCACGCGTGGGCCGGCGCATGCTGTTGTGTTAGGAGGCATTCCACAATCGGCCATGCCTGCTGACTTGTCGCAGGAGTTGCAGTGGTTTGCCCCTTGTCATCTTGATTTGCACCGGCACAGCTGAAACCGCTCATCCATTGCACCCGGCTCACGCACGCTCAGGTGGGGCGCTGACTGGATCCTCAAGGCGCGCTTCAACTCGAGCTCCCTCGTGGCTGTGACCTGGGCGCCTGGCGCGACCATCCCCCAGGCGCACCTCTTTTGGGGCCACCCCGAGGACATCGTCGGCCCCGCCGCAACGCGCGCTCTGCCGCCCGGCCGGCCCGGCGCAGACCTGCTCGCGCAGGCGGCTGCGGCGCTGGCGGCGACGGCTGTGATTTTCAAGGACGACTCTGTGGACTATGCGGGCGAGCTGATCAGCGTGGCCGAGGGGCTGTACGCCCAGGCCAAGGATCAGGAGGGCCTCTACTCTGACAGCGTGCCCGAGGTGCGCGGCTTTGGGTGCTCCCATGTGCGATAGAGTAATCGCGGCCGGCAAGTGCGTGATCGTCAGTACGCGTGGGGATGAGGCGCAGGTGTGGGTTTCGGGGTCAGCGCAGGCTGACCAGACCCCACAGGTGGTGCAAACGCGGTTCCGAGGCGCCCGGCCTGCCTGTGCGGGCACGTTCACGTCTGTGATCTCGTTGCCACCTTGCCGATGCTGCGCTCAAGCCTGCCGCACTCCTGTACCGCGGCACTGGGACCCCTCCATCACCACCACCGCCGCCACATCACCACCAGGTTAAAGGTTACTACACCAGCTTCAGCTTTGTGGATGACCTGGCATGGGCCGCCAGCTGGCTGGCGGTGGCCACAGGGGACCAGTACACGCGCGAGGAGGCGCGGCTCTACTGGCAGCGCCACATCAGCGACGAGGGCGGCGGCGAGGGCAGGAGGTGCGTGGGCGCGAGGCGGGCGGGTTGGCCGTTTGTGAGCCAGCCATCGGCAACCCTGCAGACACGTGCTCCGTGCTGGTGGCTGCTGCAATGCAGCCAGATTTTGAGATCCGTCACCCGTGGGCGGCGCCGTAGCCCTTGCTGCCCTCTGCCGATCCCACAATCATCATGTGACGAGCCGACGGACGCTCCGGCCCCTCGGTCAAACCCCCGCCGCCCCAGGTTTGACTACAACAACCTGCAGCAGGGCGTCGGCTACCTCATGAGCCTGCTGTACCCCGAGAAGAAGGACCAGTACCTCCAGCCGATCCGCAGCGTGATGGAGCTCTGGCTCAACGAGAGGTCAAACATCACATTCTCACCCAAGGTGCGACGTCATGATCTGGCTGATCTCAGGGCGAAGCTGTTCAAAGGCCGTACGCGATGGCCGAGTGCATCGGCGCGGTGCCGTGCAGGGGCCGGAGAACCCGGCGCGGCTGTCGTGGGCGGCAGCTCGCACCCCTGGCAGGGCGCTCCTGCGGGCCCCGCTTGACTGAACAGCACCCTTGTGCTTTGAGCATTCGGCCGCTCCTGTGCGTATCCATCCCTCACTTCAAGCGCCGTGCTGACACCTATAAACACCATTTCCACCCCCCCTTACATCTTGTTATGATCTGCCAGGGCATGGCGTACATCGACAGCTGGGGCAACCTGCGGTACGTGGCCAATCAGGCATTCATGGCGCTGCTGTACAACCGCGCGTACAAGGCCGACCGCAGCCGCCGCGCGCTCGTGTACAGCTGCTTCGCGCGCAAGCAGCTGCGCTACATGCTGGGGGAGTCCGGCCAGAGCTACGTCGTCGGCGTCGGGTCCAGCCCCGTCTGCAGGCCCCACCACCGCGCAGCGTCGTGCGGGCCGCTCGGCAGCCGCTGCGACTGCTCCGCGCTGAGGAACCCGGGGTGTAACCCCAACACGCTGTACGGCGCGCTGGTGGGCGGCCCGGGCCCGAAGGACGATTTCAACGATGCGAGGAACAACTACCAGCAGAACGAGGTGGCCCTGGACTGGAACGCCGGGTTCTCGGGCGTGCTGGCCGGACTGGCTTCTGGGTCAGTGAGCAGCTGGGAGGACTGCAAGTCCGGCGGGCTGACGAGCGGCCGTGGCAGCACGAGCGGCGCCGGCGGCGCGGCGGCGCGGGGCGCCAAGGGGTGGGCGGCGCCGCTGCTGGCGGCGGCGGCCGCCGCGGCCGCGGGCGGGCTGCTGGTGAGTTGAAAAGTGGAGGTGTCATGGGGGTGCGGCGATAGGCGGCTCTCAGAGGTTGACATGATAAGGCTGTGGGGCGGGTGCATGCATTGAATTGCAATTGGTATGCGTTTCAAGCGCAATTGGCTGGGGCGCCCTGCGGCGCAACCCGCACGAAAGATTTTGATCCTCGTCGATTTTTTCATCGTCCACCTCATCTTATGCCAACCTGGTGGGATTCACATCGCGCCAACGAGCGCTAAACACTGGTAATGCACGTGCAACCCCTGGATTCCCATGCGCGGACGTAAAAGTGGGCGGCGACGGCGGTGGTTTTCCAAGGACGGCTCTGTGGACAGCGTGGCCGAGGGGCTGCACGCCCTGGCACAAGGTCAGCAAGGTCCTTGCGTCGGAGTCGGCTGAGGCTGTTCAATGCGTGGGTGACCCATTGGAGCGACGCTGTCCCTCGAGAGTGCAGCCTGATGCAGTCAGCTGGAAAGCTTGAGCGTGCAGGACTGGCTGCAAGAGAGGGGGCTTCACATGTGTGCCTTCAGTGGGTGCTCACCCAGCAGGCAGAGCCGTGGCGGCGGACACAGTCCAGTGGGTGCGGGGTGCAAAGCAGCTGTGTGGCCTGCAGCCTGTACCAAGAGGTGCAGACGAGTTGCCGCAGGCCAACAATCAGTGTGTTGAGAAGGCTCCTCATCACACAACTTGCTTGTTGCCCCACAAGTATGCATGTTGTGGACCAGCAACCCATTCAGCGTCTTGATGAACTCTGTGATGTCATCCATACAGCTACCGGTATTGATGATGGACAGCATGCGGTATGCCTGACAGGGTGGCCAGCCACCATACATCCGCGTACGAGGCACAGTGCAAGCTCTTAGGAGCCAATGCTCGCAACACGCATGCAGACATGCACGCACATGCTATTCGGAAGCACACACAAACATACGCACACACACCCATGCATGCACGCGCACGCGTGCTTGCAGCAAACGCCTCTGACAACAATCCACGGCGCAGCTGAGCTCAGCGGCGGTTTCAGACGATGACGCACATGTCCTGGAGACCTGTGGCATGGGTATACGTGTCTCGTGTGAGCTCCCAAACAGACTCGTTTCGGGGCACGTGTGCAGTGTGAGAAGCTCTGTCGGGCTTGCTCTCTTCTGATCTCGGAGCTCGATCTTGAGCTGCGCGCAGCGTTCTGTGCACGCCATGACAGTAAGACATGCATTATTGATGCTAGGCCGCATGAAGCTACAGCCAGCAGCAGACGGTGCGCTAGCTGGTCCAAGCACCACTGTCACACGCAGCAGAGCGATGCTGCTGCGCACATTTGCAAGCAGCCACCAGGGCCCGCACGACCAGGAACAGCAGCAGCAAGGCGTTCATTCAGAAGAGTGGAGAGAAGTCATCGATAAGCAGACAGGTGACAGCATCTCAGTGCAGGGGCAAGGGGCTGCCCCACTGCCAAAGCACAAGCGGAGGGGGACAGACGGCCCGCGAGCGACGTGTAATGGCGACGCAGTCGAGCGCAGCAGGGTGGTACTCCCATTGCACACGGCCGGGAACTGGGGGTGGCCTTGAAGGGGCGAGCTCTGGCCGGCATGGTCAACAGCGGACGAGGTCGGCGGCAGCGCAGCATCGGGCGAGATGGCGCATGTGCGCACCGCCTCCATGCATGTGGCTATGATTTTGCCCTTTGCTCGCCTGCCGACTTCCCGAACCGCATCAACTACTCTCTGAATGTCCAGGGCAGCCCTATTATTGGAACGAAGGCACTGGGGAAACTACCAACGTTGGGGAGCCGCGCCCAACCACGCGTTTCCTGGACCCGCAGTCGGCGGCGGCGCAGGCAGCAGCGGCAGCAGCAGCAGCAGCGGCAGCCACGCCGGGCAATCCGGCGGGCCAGGAAAGACCGTGGCAGCCGCCGCAGGCGCAGAAAGACCCCACCTATACATGGGCATTGACCGGCATTGTCCTAGGAATGGCTACAGGCTGGGCGACACAATACATGAGTTGAGGCCTTTCGAGCGACGGCAGCAGCGACAGCACCAGTTGACCAGTGCTGTCCCTCGCCGTCACGATTTGATTTGTCTTGGTTTGTTGAGTCGCATCATGCTTTGTGTATTGTTACTCATTGTTGGCCGCATCTGCCTGCCCCAGCTGAAGAGCAGAGGGGGTGTGTTGTGGGCAAGCAGCAAGCAGATTCCTACACTACAGAGGCGCCATTCATCCTCTCGGTCTCTTTGCATTGATGTTGTGGCTTTGCAAAGCTGGTGGGGTATAAACAATCCAAGTAGCAGCAAGAATAAAGCATTCATTGCCATCAGCGCTCGACACAGGCCGAATAGCAACCGCGGTCACAGAGCGGTGGCCGTCGCGACCGCGGTGGCAAGTGCGGGGGCGGTGGGTGAGGGCCGGCGCAGACACGGAGACGGGATGATGTCAGCGAGGCAGGAAAACGCCCTTCCATGAAGGCATGCCCACACCCAAGCGGCGCACCACAGGGTTCTGACCAGCAAATGACAACCGGGCCTAGAATATGCCAAGAAGATAATGAAACAATCACGGGGCCTAGAACTTGCTCTGAGTGCCGTGCTCGAGACCTGCAGCACTCGGAAGCCGCCAGCGGCCCAGCCACTCGCGTCCCACGCGCTGCGGGTGGCTGAGGCCGTTCGGGACCCGCTCCAGCTTGACCCGCTCGAAGCCTGGGGTGCCATGGGAGCGGAGCAGTGCACCAGCAGCGAGCAGTGTAGGGCGCACGCATGCAATGAGATGCCCGGAGCGTGCGCCTGGATAATGCAGGCTGCGGCCCTGACTGGGGCTTCCCAGCAGCCGCGCTGCCCGTCTGCGCTCTCCTCTCGACCACGCAGCCCATTGCTATGTTCCTTGAACACATGACAGCACCCCGACGCGCGCCAGCCCAGCCGCAGTCCAAATCAGAAGGCATACTCGGCCGGCGGCCGCCGCACGCACCCGCGGCCAGCAGCAGTGACTCGTACAGCTCGGGTGTCACCGGGAACGGCGGCCCGGCATCAGGGTCGGCCCCCGGATCCACCGGGAAGATCAGCGTCACCAGCTCCCCGCCAGGCGCCAGGTGGCGCGCCCAGGCCTCGGCCCACGCGCGGCGCGCCTGCGGCGGCAGCGCGCACCTGTTTGGTGCCATACGGCACGGCGCGCGGCAGGAGGAGCGTGGGGGAGATGGGAGCGGCAGGGCTGGGGCCGGGGCAGCGCGGCGGGTGCGGGACAGGCGGCATGCTCTGACAAAAAGGCGGCAGCGAGCCTTTCGAGTCGATCGGAGGTTTCATGCCCGGCAGAGAACCGCGGGTATGTGCGTCGTCACTTGTCGCCGCGCCTCGCGGCATTTGCCGGGCTCACAAGAATGTGTAGTCATAGCTGTGGGTCACGGGGGCGCGCGTGCGGCCGGAGGGACGCGTTGCGGGGCGGACAGAGGCGGCCGGGGCGCGGGCGCCTTGCAAGCAATGAGCCTGAAACAGCAACCGGCTCTGCAGCGTGTGGGCACGGCTGCCCACGCACCCTGTGCCTGCGCGACAGCAACCGAATGCCCGGCCCCCCCACGGCAGCGATGTCAACACGGCCCTCACCCCAGGTCAAACGGCCCGTCAGGATGCTGGTAGGTGAAAAAATCGCCTGCGCGTGTGAGCCACGGGTGGCAGCAATGCGGCGGGAGCGATGCCAGCACAGCACCGATGAGGGGTGCACCCGCGCAGCCCGTGGCTTCCATCTGCCCCTGCAATACCATGACAGCAGTGCAACTGGCCTGGGCGTGCAAATTTGCGACAAAAGGCCACCCCATTGTTAGGCTGATATCCCGCAGACTCACACGCTTCGAATTGTGCACGCGCCGCCGCGTCGGCCGTGAGCGACTCGTCGCGCAGAGCGCTTGCCGCCGCCACCGCCTCTTGCGCCAGGTCCAGCCCAACCGCCAGCGCGGCGCCGGCGGTCGCGGCGGCGAGCACGTCGTACCCGCGCCCGCAGCCCGGCACGAGCACGCGGCGGCCGGCGGCGGGCGCCTCGCCGGTGGACAGGAGGTGCAGCAGCAGCGGGGAGCACTTTCCGGCGTCGAAGCGCTGCCCCGGCTGCAGGCCGTCGGCCCAGATCTGCAGTAGCGTTGTGGTTCAGAGTCAGGCTATTACGAGTGTCAAGCATGCTCTCTGTGCAGGTACAACTGCTGCTGCTCCTGCTGCTGCTCCTGCCTGCTACCTCTACTGCTGCTGCTCCTGCTGCTCCCCCTGCTGCTGCTGCCCCTTGACCCGGAAGAAGCTCAGGGGTGCCAGGCTGACCCCTGCGCAGCCACAGCGTTCAATAGCTGACCTTGTGCCAGCGCTGATTGTACTCTTCCAGATCCAACTCCTCCCCTGGTCTGACATGCACGCTGCGCGCCGCGGGCACGCCCGGGTTGTCTGACATCTCAACAGCCGGGGCGCCCTCCGCCGAAGCTGGCGCGTCCGCACGCCCAGCAGTGGCGCGGTTTGCGCCGCCACGAACTCCGCAGTGGCGCAAGCGCCGAGACGCGAGCGAGGTTACTCTTAGTATGCCTGGCCGCCCAGATAAGCAAGTGAGCATCAAATAGACGGGCAGACCCAGATCACGATGGGTACGTCTAGATTCTAATAACAAACTGATTGTTCAATCCACTAAGAAAATTACGTATGCATCGCGTCTCTACCTGCATTCGTGTACATTGCTGAAGTGCTGTGCTGATGACAAATTGCACAACCGCACCAGGTGACATGCGTCAGTCACGCCCAGCAAGCAAGGTGGCTAATAAGCCGCTGCCTCACTTCAATCCGGTACGAGTGCACCACAGATTGCAAGGTGGTGCATGATGAAGAAGTCGGAAGGCCCGCACACTGGAGCATGTAGACCAGGAGCGGACCAGCACAGGTCCTACCTGCACTCGAGGCGCACAAGACAAAGTCTAGGAGCAGCGTCCTGTGCGATACATTTCAAGCCCGTGCCGCACTCGCACTGCACTGAGAGTGCCAAATACGCTGACTGCCGCAAGCCGCCATGCGGTTGTCATGCGGCCCCAAGTAATCGACGTTTGCCTTCCGTCAAGCGTGCCAACCTGTCTTTGGCGGAAACGTATCTCCAAGACAACGTCGCTGTTGTCCCTGGCTGCACGCGCGCTTGCTGTGCAACCTTTCCCTCATCAATCCTTGCCTGCGGCTGCACAGCCGCAAGGCCAAGCGCTACGGCGAAGCCAAGCACACAGCATTACAACCAAGCTTTGAGTAAAGTATTTGCTGAGCCTGAGGAGGAACTGGCGGCGTTCTGCACAGTGCCCGTCGCCGTACATACAAACTCCACCTTTACAGTGCATACATGATCAGCTGCCCAGCAGGTCATACATTGTATTGCAGCTCTACATAAATCCCACATACACACATCGCTTCCTTTCACTGCCATGGAAGCGCCACAGTCCCCACTACACACAACAAGCCATCACTCGTCCTTGCGCCTTTGCCCCGTCCGCGCCCTGGCGCCGCTGCCGCCTGTGGTGCCGCTGCGTGTTCGCGGCCCGGCTGCAGCCGCAGCCGCTGCGGCCACCATCATCGCCACCAACGCCGCGAGGCACACCCTCAAGAGGTCCCACTTTGACCGGTTGACCGCTGATGCCGCCACGGCTGTGGCGCGCCACACGGAGAGCGTGGAGGGCGCCTCAGCGCCGCCGCCGCTGGCGAGGGTGTGCTTGCCGCTTTGCAGCAGCGGTTCGACTGAGGGGTAGGAGAGCAGCACGGCGACCTGCAGGGCGTCTTCGATGTAGTCCACGGCTGCGACAGGTGGGGCAGTTGTGCGGTCAAAAGAGGCTGCAAGTGGTTGTGCAGCCAAGCGAGGCTAGAGATAGAGAAACACGAGCTGCAGACGGATCCACTGCAAGCTTGCGAGGTGGTACTAGGAGCCCATGCATACTGCTGCGAGCCAACCGGCAAACCAAGCACATGCAACAGCATTGGGACACAGATCAAAAGTCGTGGGGCTTCTTCTCAAGTAAATGTGTGTGACACAAACCTCTCGGCAGCTGGCCGCCCTTACTCACCCGCAAGGCTGATGGGCATGGCGGCGGCATGGCGCACCCACCGCAGCGCCGGCCAGCGCTCCACAATCAGCTGCGCCAGGCTGCGGCGGCAACCACAACGACGCCAGCCGGGTCAGGTACGGCGTTCATCTTTGGAGACAGGTTTGAGATGCACATAATCATGGCCAGCCCCTTAGTGCAATGGTATCTGCATGCTCAAAACGTCATTGTGCTGCAGCTCCCAACCAGCCGCAACGTGGTAGAGATGGAGACCCAAACCCACCCAACCCAATCGATTACCCCAGGTGCAGTGTCCATATCGAGGGCACACCTGTTGATCAGGACAATCGATGCGCCGCGGTACGCCGTGCAGTACACCACGACGTCGATTGCCTCGATCAGCAGGTACCGCAGCCGCCCCGCCGGCGTCCAAGCCGCAAAAGTCGCGGCGACCTCCTCTGGGGTGTAGCCGAAGCGCGTGTCCAGCACCTCAAGGGTGGATGGGTCGCCCTGGCCGTTTGTGGGCGGTTGGGTGGCTGAGGTTTCAGGATGGATAAGGGGCACTCATTGTGGTCGCGGCCGTGTGGACGCCGTATGGCTGAAATGCGAAGAAGAGCTGATGCATGCCGGAAACACAGAGCGAGGCAGGGGCAGGGTAAAAGTGCGGTGTTGATTGCCGTGCATGAAGCCCACCTCGATGATGCCCATTTCAATCCCACCTCAAAGCCTGCGGCCACTGCGCTTCCCTTGATTTGCTCCCCAAGGATTTGAAAGGTGGCAAGGCACGCCGCAGCTGCCAGCACGCACTGCAGCGCAAACGTCCAGCTGTTGACCCGGTAGGTGGCGGGCCGCAGCCACCAGGTGGCGCCCAGGTTGGCCACAAGTGCGGGCAGCAGGCCCTGCGGCCGAGCCGCGCCGGCACCCCGCGCCTGCGAAGGCATCGGCTGGGCGCCAGCGACAGGCGCGGTGCCGCGGCGCATCCTTCCCTGGGGTGGGGGGTGACGCGAGTGAGCGTCAGCTGCAGGTTGCCCTGCGGGCGCACCGCGTCGCTGTAAACAGTTGTGGGTATCAAGGTACCTGAAGGCAGCTGAAGGTGATGCAGTTGTGGACGTGCTACTTGTTTGCTGCCGATGGTGCCAGTCACGACGGGGCGGAGCCCACGCACGCAAGATCAGTCGGGACGCACGTAAGATGTCAATGATGAGGAGGCCTGGGCAAAAGATCACATTGTAATAATATGCGTATGGCTGACAGCTTAGCTTCTCCGTGGAGGCCTTTTGGGCTGCACGAGGGCGAGTGTCGTGATGATGCTCGGAACGCAATCACGACTACCCTTCGCGCAAGCGCGGAGATTTAAGTAATCTAGCATCTTGCATTACAAGGGGGGCTACCACTGGCAACTGCAGGCAAACTCTGTCATAAACACACAGTCATGTTGATGGTTGACCGGACCTCAACAACGCTCGGCTGTCATGACAAAAAATCGTATTTGTACGAGGCCACACTGCACCGTGTGTCTCTGCAAAACGCGAGGCAATGGGAGGCTGCAAGCAAGCATGAGGGCATGTCCGGCACCAGACACCCGGCCACTCGGCCTGCCGCTTGACCGGTACGGTTCACTCAGGTCGCCACGCACACCACAGCGTCAACCTCCCCATAAATCCTCCCCGATGGCTTCTGAGCATGCAGAGGTGTGCGCTGAGAATGTCCATGCTGCGCACCCCATGGGAGCTTCGGGGCCACGGGCAGCCTGCCTGCCCGCTGCAGCGCCGCTCTTGAGCGGCCCACGGCCCCCTGGCCACAACGTCGCGCCGGCGCCACGTCTTTCAGGCCATCTGCTCAGCAGCTGCTCAGCAGCTGCGTACCGCGTCAGCCATCGCCTCCGCGAGGTATCGCACCCTGCAGCACGGGCGCGAATAGGAACAGTCGCGAGGGTTGGACACTGACAGCGCGGCGCAGGCTGCAGAGCGTGAAGGGCGCGCGGGTGCGGCTGAGTGCGCGCCTGCTGCCGCTCTCGGGGCTCTCAGAACAGGGAGATATTGAAGGCAATTGGGGGGCGGCAACGGCATAGGCAGTGGCGG